AAACCTAAGGAGGGATTGTAAGAACCTAGGGTTTATAGTGAATTGGTTGACAACATGAGATTTACAAATAGTGTCTGAAGTGGGAGCAGTTTTGTGGGATCAAGCCCTTGCTTGTGAGATCTGTGCTAATTCCAGGTGGTTAGTGTCAGAATTGAGTTAAACTGTAGAACACCCAACTAATACTCTAAGAGTTGGAGAAATGGTGGTTAGTGTGAGAGAAAATCCCACACATTTGGTGTCAAAATGTTCTGTGTGTAGAGAAACAGTTTTCCTTAAATCACTATCCTCAAAAACGTTTCCATGGTAAATTTGAGAGTAGTGAAGGACTCTGGCCACTATACTATGTGTAAAGGTTACTTCTTAAATTATCTAGGTTCTATATTATACTGTCTAGCTCTTGAAATTCAATGCCTTAGTATACCTTCTGAGAGATAGGAAGAGAGATTTGAAACCCCATAGTTGAGAAACTCTTATTCCTTCAAATTTTCTCTTAATCCTCTATGATTTAGAATGTGCATAATGGAGTTCCACATCTGATGTAGATGAGTAGCCTTTATTGGACCTGATCTTCCCAAGGTAACAGTCATAAATACTAGGCTTAAAAAAAAAAAAATGACCCAGCGCCAACTTACAGAAGCTTTCACTGGCCAAAGATGAAACTATTTGAACTTCTTCAATGATGAAAATAAAGGCAATGGATCCAAACCTATCAAATGTGTTCAAATCCATGTGCTGATCACTTTCTGACACCTGGGAAATAGATAGATAGTATTAAGCATGCATCTTCTCTTTCCTGAAAGAACTATACCATTGGGTAACCAAATAATAGATAAAGGAGAACATCTTTTCATTAATGTATTTAATGTAAAAAATGTAAAAGAAATTATGGAATTAAAAACATACACATGCATATACATATATATTATTTTAGGAAAAAGGAATGCTTAATGTCTCTCTCTTTTTACACCCACACACATATACATGTATGCTTAATGCCTTAATATATATATCTAGATAGCTAGATAGATGATAGATGATAGATAGATATCAAACACTCATGTTTGCTTGACATCGTAAAAAAAGACAGAGGAACATAGTCTCTTCTCATAGCTAGAGTGATCCTTTTAAATGTAAATCATATTTTATCCTATCTGTGGCCAAAATCACAATAGCTCTCAATTTTCTGAAGAGTAAAAATCAACGTCCTTCTGAATGTCTTTAAGAACCTATAAGAGCTGTCCTTGAATTAGCTCCTTATCTCATCTCTCTCTCTTGACTATACTCCAGCTTCAGTGATTTCCTTCCTGTTCTTTAACCCATGAAATGTGCTCGAACTTCAGGGCCTTTGCATTGGCTGTATTTTCTGTCTTGAGTGCTCTTTTTCCTTACTGCCACCCAGCTAACTTCTTGCCTTTTTCAAATCTTTGCACAAAAGCTCTCTTTTCAATGAGGATTATGGATGCATCCCATTAGAAATTACCTCCAACTCTCCTACTTCTCTTGCCAAATGCACACCCTTTCTGACTCTCCTCTTTATCTTTCTAAGGCTTTTATCATTACTCATATTCACTACTATATTGCTATGAGTTGAACTGCAACCCCCTCCCATCTCCTACAAAACACATGCTGAAATCCTAACCCAGGACCTCAGAATATGACCTTATTTGGAAATAGGGTCTTTGCAAATGTAATTAGTTAAATTAGGATGAGGTCTTACTGGAATGGTGGCAAGGGTGGGGGCTCCTCCAACATGACTGGTGTCCTTCTAGGAAGAGGGAAATGTGAACATAGACAAAGGGAGGATATCATGCGAGGGTGAAGGCAGAGATTAGTTATGCACCTGCAAAAACCACCAAAGATCACTGACTAACCCTGAAGTTAGGAAGAGGCGAGGAAGGCTTCCTCTGTGAGTTTTCATTGGAGCGTTGCCCTGTGGACACATTGATTTCAGATTTGCAGCCTTCAGAACTGTCAGACAATAATTTTCTGTTTGTTTGTTTTTTTTTTTTAGCCACCCAGCTTATAGCACTCTGTTAAGGCAGTCTTAGGAAATGAACACATCTATCTGTATACTATGTGATTACTATCTAATTCACTTTTTATTGTTCTTATTGCTTATTGTTTGTCCACCTCCTGCTATGGACTCCCCTTCTCCCACAAGGCAAACATAAATAGGAGGGATATTTTTCATTGCTATTTCCAAAGCACCTACAAGAGTTCCTGGCCCACAGCAGGTATTCAACACTATCTGAATGAAGTAATCCTTGTATAAATTTCATCATTTAATCATTTTAGTTGCTCTTTGTGCATTTCCCAGTCCCAGTGTTTTTGTTGTTGTTGCTGTTGTTTTAGTGTTTTATTACCCCTAGTAATGGGCAACATAGTCAGCAGGAATAATTTAAATAAGCACCAAAACTTGATTTAACACTTCTTCTGAAATAAATATTTTTAAATAATTGTTAAAAGTAATGAGGTTGACCGCTTATAATTTCATGTCTATTTATTTCTCCTAGCCTTGCTTTGCAAAGATGCTATGGAACAAGTATTCAAGTCAGATACCAGAAGAGAATAGGAGAGTTAAGATAATCAGCTCTCGAGCAAAGGAGAGTTGACTGAACATAAATTGTTTAATTCCCTAACCAAGTCTCCACAGAAGAAATGATCATTCATACAAAATTTTCAAAACTATTATCCCTCCTTCCCCCCTTAATGACTTCCAGCCACCAACCTGTTCAGACTTCTCAACTTTCAATTAAGAACTTCTGGTTAGGGTAGAGAAATTGCCTCCTTTGAGTTCAGTAGTCTAAAAGTTCCAAATTAGTTTATCGAGTTTGACTAAGCTCATCTCTCAGCAAGCATAAAATCTGTGAAGTTTTACAGGTATTCTACATTTACTAATGTAAGTTACTCTACCAGGATAAAATATCTCTGTCTTTGTTTATATTTGCACTTATGGGGAGATTTCCACCCCCCACACACTAAAATTAAACCTTGAAATTGTCCCAGTGAAAGTGAAAATACCTATTGCTTTCAAAAACAAGAGGTCATTCTTGGACTTCCTAGTTTTGAGTCTAGTGTAAGACAACAGTTTTGAAGCTAAGCACTCTGAGGGGCAAAGCTTTTAAATCACAAAAGTTTTCTCTTCCAAAAGCAAACCTTGGGGGCATCGGGGTGGCTCAGTGGGTTAAGCTTCTGCCTTCAGCTCAGGTTGTGATCTCAGGGTACTGGAATCAAGCCCTGCATTGGGATCCCTGCTCAGCGGGGAGCCTGCTTCCCCCCTCTCTCTCTCTGCCTGCCTCTCCTCCTATTTGTGATCTCTGTCTGCCAAATAAATAAATAAAATCTTAAAAAAAAAAAAGCAAACCTTGATGTTCTGAGCAGTTTTACTATAAGCTACAGTGAAGAGAAAAATGAAGATCTGGGGGACATTCTTGATAGGCAGAAAGAAGTACAGGCCCTTAGAATAAAAAGGAGAGAAAAGAAAGAGAAAAGCAAGAATGGACTCAAGTTCTTTCACTTTTTTTTTTACCTGTTGTCATATAAAAACTTGGGGTGGGCACTCATATAGCACCGACAGATCAGAGAAGCTAAAAATAGAGGCAAATGTATGCAGGTTCATATTTGAAAATCTAGAAAGAGACCGAAAAGTGGAGTGCTTTTATAGCAATGTAGAGTGAGCACAACAGCACAGATACAGCAGCTGAGAGTGTCTGGGCTGAGAAGGCCTCAGTAACCCATGCTGCCTGCTTCAGTTCTTAGTGATCTATAGAAGGAGTAGAATTTCATAAGCTCCTGCAGAGTCCTTGGTCATGAATTTAAAGTTTCCCAGTAGTTGCCAAACTTGACGGGTACAAGACCAATAGAGCAGAGAGTCTAGGCTCAGAACAAAATGGAGAGTATGGTTGAGTCTCTGTGCGACCACACAATGAAATGTCAGCAGGGGTGGACTGGGGCTGGACTCTCAGCTCCTCACCTTGCTGAGAACCAGCCATACATTATACAGGTGGACATGACAGGGAGACCAGGCAGGAGAAATACTCCTCCGCTGGAGTTCAGTGGGAGTCAGCGTAAGGCACCATGTGGACCAGCACCATTTTCAGCTTCCCCCATGTGTAGACAACATCTAGGGAAGGAGCAGGAGGGTCTGTGAAAGAAAAACTCCATGGAGTCTGGATTTTCAATAGATTAGATAGCTACCAGAATTACCTATTTGCAAATCTAAAATGTTTCCTGTTTTGTTTTATTGTGGGTTTTTTGTTTGTTTGTTTTTGTTTTGTTTTGTTTTTGTGGACAGGAGCCAATATTGCGGAGGGTTAAATCAGTTATAGGATCTGAAGACAGCAATGTTATTTTGTACATATGCTGTTTGTTAAAATATTCAATGATTTTCGGGGACTCAGTTTTTCAAAAAACTGTCTGAAATAAACAAAAAGTTCTAATTGTAAAGTTTACTAAGATAGTATATGAGACCTCAGTACTGAAATAGCACAGAGTCTATCAATCATTCTGTATCTTGACCAAAAAACTTAACCTCTTTCTCTCCCCTGTGGATACTCAAAGTATTTTTAAATTATTTAATATTTGGAAATACAGATACTATTTATATTTCACATTTTAGATTGTAAAAGATGTATATAAAAACAATCTTTCTTTGATAGTGTTAATGTGGTATGAGACTAGAAAAGATTTAAAATCTACTTTTATTTGTTAAATTAATTGTGTGTTACTAGAGAGTGGGGGCAAATGAACAATCTGACCAATTATCGATAATAGGAAATTAGTGTTTTCCTGCCAAATCTGTACCCATTGCTTACAGTTACAATCATGACTTGGGTGTACAGCTATCATTTGTTATGATTTGCTGAGCATACTAAATGTTTTCTGTATTTTCACAGACTAAATATTAAGAATTCTATGAAGCAGAAATGAAGATAAATAGATAATATATATTCCTCATATCTAACATTAAATGAGTCTCAGGAAAAATATTTTTGTTTACTATAATTTTGAACCAAAAATACAGAGTAGGTTAGATACAACTTTTATTTTAAACAAAAGTTACAATTCATTTGTTTACAAGACAAGATGAAATAAACGTTAATACAACTACTTCTTAAAGTGAAATTATAGATTGCATTGACACCAACTTTATACAACTAAATGAATTCATCATATTATATATAACACATTAAAGTTATTTTCCACATATTATGAACTGACATTCAAATTCAGAACTCTGTTACATAAATTCAATTTCATGTTACTAAAATTTATTTAATTTACATACAGAGTTATTGTGAATATGATTTAGATGGTCTCAACATTTATTCTTTCCTCGGTAAACATTCAGAATTATGACATATGAAGACATTGTATCAGGGAAATCAAATCAGCTTTGATCCCATTATTAAGAAAGCCATACAGAATAGGATTAAGGCAACAGGACATCATGCCTAACAAATGACAAATGCAATACACCAACTTGAAATGCCTGTTTGAAATAAGGTTATCATTAAAATCAGTTACCACATGGAAAAGGTGTAGGGGCATCCAGCTAACAGCAAACACTAGTATCAGTATGGTCAGTCTATAGAAAACACTTCGAGATCTCTTTTTGATTCTCATGATAGAACGGTTTACTCTCATTTCATGAACATCTGAGTTTTCTTCAGGTTTCATCTCAAAGCAGGTGGGGACCCTTGGTATGAACTTACTGGATGAAGAGGGCTGATTTTTTACGGAACCAAAGTTTTCTGGAAGCATTCTTGAGTGGTTCTCTTGAGGAGGTCTTGCTGGAGCAGGTAACACACAGGCTGTCTTCTTGCTGTATCTTCTTCTGTGTTTTCTGATGAATGAATAGCTCCATTTATGGTTGCTAGCAATTTTCACCTGAGGCCCACTCTTCTTGAATGGATGAAGAGTTAAGTTGATCATCTCATTTTCTTCTAGTTTGTTTTCTTTGTTGGACAACCCACAGCTTATACTCCTGCAGACACTGGTGTGACTTACAGTGAGACACACCAAGGGAAGAATATACTGCACTAGCAATAAAGAGATAGTAAAAGCAATTCTGTATGAATCAGATGGCCACGACTCAACACATAAATATCTGCTGCTCAGCAGTGCTGAACCAAACGTTTCCTGAAGTTCCACCAGACTGTGAAACACTGGAAGGGGAGAACAGATTGCAAAACCTAGTGTCCAGACGGTAGCAATCAGGAAGTAGCCATGATTTGCTGTTAAATTGTTAGATATAGGGTGTTTTATCATGTGATACCTGACAATGGCAATTGATATCAGAATTAAAGTTGAGACCAGAACGGACACGCATTGAAGAAAAGGCATAATATGACACATGACTTTGCCAAACATCCACTGATCCAGCAGGACAGAGGTCAGTGTAAAAGGGGAGCAAAACAGCACAACCAAAATATCAGAGAAGGCCAAATTTCCTATGAGGAAGTTGACCGTCGTCTTCTGATTACGCTTTCTCATGAGAGCCATTAAAATAAGTAGATTGCCCATAAAACCAAGAAGACTTACAAACGTATAAAGTCCAATCAGAAAATACTGCAAGTCATCCACACTGCTTTTATAGTCATCCCAGATGGGGAAATCAGAATTCCGAGTGGCAGCAGTATTGTTCTCAGTGGCAGGGGTCTTGTTATAAAACTCCTGGAGTTCTAAATCCATATTATAGCTCTGCTTGGAATAAAAAGACATTAGTTACCAACTTTAAAAAAATTACATGACTACTATGCATTAATCCACTGAGAGGGAAATGAAATTTTAAAATTTGTTCCCATACCTTATTAATCTCCTAAACAAAGTTTCCTGAGGTCTTTAATTGTTTCCAAGTTCAGGGCAAATATCAGCCAATAACAATTACAGTAAGTCTAAGTCTATCGTCATTTCTATGGTGTATTACCTTGTGTTTAAATAGCAGATCATGTCTTTTAGATTTACGTAGATATAATGAAAGGGAAAGAAAAGGCAAATGTATATAAAAACTTCAAGATATCTAATTTACAATAGCTCATTATTATGGTGTGGTCATATACTCTTACCTTAAACATTCATTTGTTTCCAACTTCAAGCAAGGTCAAACTTAGAAGTCACCTGTCCTGAAGTATTCCTTGATCTACTCAATTGGCTGCGAGTCTCCTCTTTGAGACCCCCACATTGCTCTGTTTACAGCTCTCTGGTGCTATATGTGACAATTTGCTTTGCAATGCAATTAAAAAACATAGCAGCCTATATTATCTATTAATAAGCAATGGAAAAGCAGAAAACTACCCTTTACTCATTGTGGTATCTACCACAATACATGACCCAGTAACTCCATCATTGCAGGTGCTAAATATATATTTATGGAAAAATGAAAAATTCAAACAAATGTCTAGTACCCTAAATATTATCTAGTTTATGTATATTCCAATGAAGCTTCTCAAGTGTAGCTTCTCAAATGTAGAAACACTATCCCAGGAGTTAGTCTATAGTACAGGCACTTACTAAGTGTTTATCAAGCTGTACTATTGACTATGTGTGCACAATAGTCAATGACAAAGTCATTCCTTGATCAATTCTTAGTCCTTTGAGATGTGCCAGATTATCATAGTTAGGATAGCCACTGACCAGCTAGTATTTTTATTTATTTATTTATTTATTTATTTATTTTTTGACCAGCTAGTATTTTTAAAAACAAAATTTACCTGTTTATTTTTTAATTTAAAAATTGAAAACAACTTTCAGCTTTAGAAAGATTGAATAAATTCATATCATCTGAGGAAAATTTATATCTTGAAGTTAAATGTAGAAGTAATAATAATATCATACCCCATAATAAGTTTTTTCTTATGTTTTTCCCTCTCCTAATGCTCATTCACTCATCTAACATTCTTTTATTCATTTTATTTTGGTGTGATTGCAGTCAACCTTGTGCTGCTTTCCCCGTAGTCCCAGGCCAATCCATCCCACCTCCACACAACCATACACACTCCTAATAACATGCTCTACACTAAATGAGCATTTTGTGAATCTTTGCTCCAGTGACTTCTTACAACTGGAGGTACTGCAAATGGGGCCAGGGGGAAGGAAGGGAATGCTAAGCTGTTTCTTTAACTTGCCATCTTGTTGTATGGAGGCCAAAGGCAGGATACCCAAGATGGGCCACACAATGGCAGGTAGATTATTTTGAGCTGAAAATAATCAAGACCCAAAAGACTCAGGTAGAAACTCTGACCTCCTCACCAACTGCCTAAAAAAATTTAGATAGAGGACCTGTACCGGGAAAAGAGCTATTTATAGAGATTCCTTTTTGCCTAAGAAACATATGTGCACAACAGGGCAACCTTCATTTTCCAAACATCTCTTCTCACCTTCCTGCCAATGGCTCTTCTCCCTTACCCCTCTCCTTAGTTCAGGATGACATCTATACCTCATTTTGCCTTTCTTTGGAATTTCCATGCCTGTGCAGATTCCCTGTAGGCAGGAAACTAAATTTGATTTTCTTCTGTCAATCTGTCTCATGGAAATTTAGTTCTTAGTCCAACTAGAAGAACTTTGGACAAAGAAAAATTTCTTCCTCCCTGACAATAGCCAGGGGATATTTCAAACAGTAGGAATTATTCGTCTAATAAGATTTGTCTTGTTGTTGTTTTTTTTTAATTGAAAATCAAAGGTAGAGAAAATGAAAGAAAAAAAAACACACAAAGGATTTTTTTTCTTAAATTTACTCCTTCACTTCTCTGAAAAGAACCATAAGCAAACCTATAATGGAAATGTAGATCTGTTTAATAATTATCTGCTTTTCAGCAAGTGTTATAATGAACAGTGTACAATTTTATAAAACATAAATACTTTGTACATAAGAGTAATGCAATATGTGTGCTTTTCTAATCTCAGAGTGCTAGAGAAACTATGAAATGTAACCAGAAAGTTTTAGAAATGAAATATTATTTTAGAAGAAATTCAATATTGACTGTGTGAAACCTTTGTTGTGTTTGCTTAGACATTTTCTTTTGTATCTAGTTTTAGCTCCCACCATCAGAATTCCCAGGCTGCAACATCAAACTTTAATCCTCAGAGTAAAAAGTGAAAAGTTCTTTGTCAAACTGTGGTGACTTTTAGAAAGCAATGTCTTTGTAGGCTTATGTACTTTTCTGATATCATAATTTTCATGCAAAAATTGATCTATAGCTGACACCAAGACGAAAGAAATCTTCCGAATAGATTGTAGGTATGTTAAGTAGATAGTTCTTAAAAAAAATAGGAGGAACTGTTGGGAACTCAAAGGATACTGAAAGACAGCTAATAGATTTAAATAAATTTCCTTTGTTAGGATAATCTCTGTCTTATGATAAGGCACATCTTTTCACAAAGGATGACAGTCACACACAAAAGAATAAAATATATGTTTTTTTCCCCTTCTAGCAATGATAAAATATCAGCTCTTGGCTATTTTGCTACGATCCTGGAACAATGGCGAGATTCCATATTCTCAGATATTCCCATGATTTTATTTTTAAAGCTAGAATCTGGCAAAATTTGAGTTGGAAAGATAAATACAGCTTTGCTCAGCTGACAAACACGCAGGCTCGCACCACGCTCTCCTAATTCTAACAGCAGAGTTTCTTTTCCCTTGAGAAATCTGAAATGTAAAATTGCATTCCGGCTCAAAATTCTGCTGAGAGCCTCAAGCTATTCCATGGTGTCTGGCAAAGTCTTTCGACTTTGATCCAACACGATGGTTAAGTTCCTTTAAAAGATAAACTAAAGGTCTGTGAACTTGGGGATAAAAAATTCCTTGTTTCTGGAATTCAAGGTGTGTACATGTATGGTATTGCTCGCATTTGTCCTATGAGGCCACCTTGCAAACAGGAACGCAAACCCAGGCGCGCAGCTGCCTCCAGGTCTGCGGCCAGCTGCGGGACTGCGCGGCAGGTGCACTGACCGAGGGGCGCCCGGTGGACTGCGCCCCAGGACCGCGCCAGAACCCGGCTACGGCTGTGCACTAGCTGAACACCCTGTAGGCTGCGGTCCCCCTGCCTCAGATTCTGCCGGGCTGCACTCGCGGCTCGCCCCCAAGGGAAGCGCTAGGTCCCCGCAGAACCCCCTCCCGCTAGCTCCTGATCCAGCCCCAGCGCGGATTCCGGACACTCCTCCTGGATTCGGCCAGCGCCTGCCCCACCCCGGGTGAGTAGTTGCCCCGAACCAAAGAATTCCGCTTTGTCCCTTCCCCCTTTCCCTTGACGCCTAACAATTGCCTGTTCCTCCACCGCAAACCCCCACTTTTCCAGTCGCTCTGCCTTTGGCTTCCCCGCTAGCCCTCTCGGGAGCCCGGACTACACCCGGGACCCGGGACGGGTGCGGCTCCCCGGCCCCGCACCGATTCCTGCCCGAGCCAGGAACGGCCTCAGCCCCTCCCTGCGGGCCCACCCCCGCGCCGAAGGGAGCGGTGGGGAGAGGCTGAACCCGGTACCTCGGGGCGCCCGGGCGGGTGCTGGTGCCTCAGCTCCCGGGAACGCGGTCGCTTCTGCGCCCGGGCGGCGGCGACTGCAGGGGGAGCACCTGGAGGTGGCGGTGGGGATGTGGTGGGGGTAGGGAGGAAGGAGCGGGGAGCAGCGGGGGTTTTAGAGGCGCCTCGGGAACACGTGACTGTTCCCGGGACCCCGGAGACCCTGCTCTAGGGCGCCTGCTCCGCCACAGCCTCTCCCCAAGCCCGGGTTCGGGGCATCCCAGCCCCTACCTTGCTGTCTAGGGCCCCAGGGAGAAGCTGCAGGCCCTCGAGATGGCACCCTGTCACTCTGGCCTCTGGTTCTTGGCCGAGGCCAAGTTAACTTGCCGAGCAGGAAGATTTTTGCCGGTTCTGTCCCCAGCCTGGTGAAGTGAACTCGGAGGAGTCTTGAGCTGATGTGGGAATGAGCGCTGGGGTACCTCTAAGAGCTTAGGCTCCATGAGAAAAAGCTTCAAGGCCCAGGTTTTCTCTTTGTTCGAAAAAAATAAAAACCAAAACCAAAACAGAATGCTGCTCTTTTTGCGCCTTTTTAGAATGAAGAGGGGAGAAGTCTAGGCAGGAAGGCTGATCTGAAGGGGCAGGAGACACAAAGGGGTCAGAATAGGAAAAAGGGTTTATTCCCATTCCTAAGGAGAAGTAGTTGTGGGCGTGGGCAAGCGGCCTGGAACTGGGGATTGAGGTTGAAACGGAATCCACGTTTCTCAGGACTGTTGGGTAACAGAAGACGGACAGAGCCGGGTTGGGGTGGGGGAGAGGTAAAAAGAGTTGTCATAGTTTTTTTTTTGTTTGTTTGTTTTTTGTTGTTGTTGTTGTTGTTGTTGTTGTTGTTTTTAAAACAGCAACCAAAACACACTACAAAATTTGGTCCTCTGTTTCTCCTCAACATGATTTCCGTCCCCATTGTTTCCAAATCTGTATTGCAGATTTGCCTTATTTTTGTTAGTCATTCGTTGGCAGGTATTTTAGGCTTCTCTGTGCTCTCCGTGTATCTGTATATGTGTGTGTGTGTGTGTGTGTGTGTGTGTGTGTGTGTAGGAGGCAGGGAGTGCAGAGAGAGAGAGAGTCACTGGAGAGATTGGAAAGAGATCCATATGTTCTTGAACATGGCCTTGCAGGTGAAAGATTGTATTTCTTGTATATAACAAAACTGAAAAATGATCATGTGACAATCATAGGATCAAGGGTTTGGTGATGAGTGTAATCCCATGGGACTGGTACTCCAAACCGGGGAGGACTATATCCCTTGATAGCAATGCAACTTGTAAATCTAGTTTCTGCGGGCAGCAAACCCTACCTGTTCCCCAGAAGTGGACAAAAATTATTGTGCCTCTTCTCTCCTGTATTTTAATATTCAGTATTCGAGGAAACTATATAGACGTCATTGTATTGGCAAGAGAGTCATCCAAGAGCTCTTAAATACCTCAAGTAAATCCAGTACCTATTTCATTATTTTCTGTCTTATTTCTGGTAAACTAGTACATTCTCCCCCAAATGCTGGACAGAATAGGCAGTCTGAGCAGGCCCACTGGATCCTGTAGTTGGTAAGCTAAGGGATTATATGTGAAAAAGGGATGACTGGTAAGAAAACAAAGTTTGGTTCTTAGACTTTCTTAACTCCAACATCAACATGGTCAATCCAATACACATTGTCACATAAATTTCTATTCTTCCATCCCTTGCGTGGTTATAATACATACTTACTTCAAATATGCTTTGTTGTTAAAACAACTTCCAAATAAACCCCTTTGTGACTATCTTCCAAAATACTAACCTATGCTTCAAGCTTTTGTATGTTAAAAATACAAGATGGATTTTTTTTCTTTTCCATAAATTTGTTATTTCTTTTGATGATGTCGACCCTTAAATTTAAGTAGCTGTTGTTATTATTGAGTATTAAAAATAAAAGGCCAACATGTCATTGAGATGAAGATTCCAATTAACCCACCTTTTTCTTCCACTGCACATACAAGCATGCAAGCCTCAAAAAGCCTTCTTTAAATACACATTCAATATATGTGGAGTAAACAAATTATTTTAAAAAATCCTTCTTTTGAAGATTTGGTCAACTTGAAAATTCCAACAATATGCTACATAAGAAGTTATGGAGATCTGTGTGCTTTTATCTTCAAATTTCCCAGGAGGGATTCAAGACTCATCATCATCACTCTTTGTAGAAGATAATAAGCAATTTTCTTATTTTATGGAGTAAATTCAAGCAGGTAGAGTACTACCTCTGGGAACACAAGTAGTAATGTCCACCTCTGCTCTATGTATTTTTTCCTACTCACTACTTATAAAATGCTCATTTGGGAAATTAAGCTGGATTTTATGTGTGCTACAAAATTAAACTGGCTATTTTCCAGTTTTCTTGGTTCTTCATCAGTTTTGAAAGAAAGCATTTCTATGAAGGTGAAAGTTAAAACCTCTTGGGGCTCTTATGACAAATTATTGAATAATAAAACACTCTCCAAACAATGCCTGGGGTAACATTTCTCTGAGGAACCTGTCTATGATTTTTGTCAAAATTATTGCTGCATTTTAATAACAGCTACCATTTGCAAAGAACAGTTACTAAAATGCACTGACATAATCTCAGACAATATGTGATCTTGGTATATTAGTTATCAGAATAGTGGTGATTAAAAAAAGTTGAAAAATAGTGTTATTTTATTCGATGCATTTTTTTCCTGTGAAGACTTTAGTTATTCATTAAGAGTAAACATTTCTTTATCCACTGTTTCTATCATGGTAAGTTTAATCCTTAATTCTTAAAAGACATGCAAAGGGCCATTTCCACATGTTATGAAAATATTTTTATGATGTGCATCACTGCTTTGATTTCTTTGGAATTGTAATAGTTTGTCATATGATCAATATTTAGGACTCAAAACAAGGAACTAACATAATTGTGAAATACACGCAGTTTTTTAAGGAACAAAAGCAATTTAAAAAAAAGTTAACCTAAAGTTTTGGGTGCATAGAGACATTTTCCCAGAAAACTCAATGATAATTTTGAGGTGCTAAGGGGGCAGGATAAACATAATGATAAGCATTTTGATAAGCATTTTGCTACTTAAGCAATACTATATCTTTCTTTTTGATTCCCTAACAATTAAATCATTAAATATAAAGCAGTGACTGATTTCCAGACAGAATGTACAGTTCTTTTTTTAAAAAATAAATTTTCCAGGGATGCCTGGGTGGCTCAGTTGGTTAAGCAGCTGCCTTTGGCTCAGGTCATGATCCCAGCATCCTGGGATCGAGTCCCGCATCGGGCTCCTTGCTCAGTGGGGAGCCTGCTCCTCCCTCTGACTCTGCCTGCCACTCTGTCTGCCTGTGCTCGCTCTCGCGCTCTCTCTCTCTCTGACAAATAAATAAATAAAATCTTTAAAAAAAAATAAATTTTCCATGTTAAAAAATATATGACACATATACGTGTGTGTGTATATGTATGCATATACACACGATCACATATCACAGATGTATTTGTATAATGGACACTTGTCAGAACACCTGGATTTCATCCAGGTTTTACTCCAATTTAATGGACAAATTAATTTAGACAAAACACTTTGACCTTTGTAATTTTCACTTCCTTTGTAAAATAAAATATTCTAACTAGTAGATATGTAAAGTCCTTTAAGCTCTGACTACATATGACTTCATGCCATTAACAAGCATGCATTATAGATATATGTGTAGAAAGGGAAACTTTTTGGATCTTTAGAAAAATTTGATGATCATAGAAATGGTTGCTGTCCATATTCGAAAAAAAAAGAAATACTGTTGATAGCTTTCCATTATTACTGGCACATTCTCTTCCCTGCAGCTATATTAACAACATAATGATATTTGACTCTTCTTTTAAAAAATTGTGGATGTCTTACATATCAACAAATGATTCTTTATCTAATTATATTATTTTAAAAATTCAGCGCAAAATATATAAAAGAAGAGAACATAGATTCCTTCAGAGGCATAATATTTCTATCAAATATTTCTATCATATAAATCCATATATAGACCATATATTCTTCCCTGTTGTAAATCCAAACAAAAAGTGATGATGTTGAAAAGTATCCCCCCAATATTGCTTTTTAAAAAATAAATTTTCATTTCTTAGCTAAGTTTTCATGGTTAGTATTTTAAATCTACTTATAAGTCTAAATATAACCTCACTATATTTAAGTGGAAATGAAAGAGAAATAGTTTATTTGTTTTGGGTATGCTGGTTTGTTTTGAATAGTTTTTAAAAAGAATGTTTAGAGAACAGTTCAAATCATAAGCCCAGAATAAAAAGTTGATGTTGTTAAATGATATGCTCTTCCACAAGGTGTCTGTTCCCATATTCTTACTCTTATCCTGTTAATGGGTAATTCCACTTCTAAAAGAATATTATTCAGCAGGTAGAAAAACTCATAAGACACTTTTCTGCTGGACATTATGTGCATTTTTTAAAGATTTTTATTTATTTATTTGAGAGAGAGTGAAAGCGAGAGAGATCACAGAGGGAGAGAGAGAGGGAGAAGCAGGTTCCCCCTGAGCAGAGAGCCAGATGCAGGGCTTGATCCCAGAACCCATGACCTGAGGTGAAGGCAGTCGCCTAACCAACTGAGCCACCCAGGTACTCCCGCATTTTTAAAGGCAGTAGGATTCATTTTTCAAGTTTATACTTAATAAGAAAAGCAGAATTAACACATAAAGGAAATTTTTAAAATGAGAAGAATTGTCAAGAGAAGTATATAGTAAGCATATATATGTATAAAATATATGTAGAATTTACATTTACATTATATATACGCTATATAATATATAATGTGTGTGTATAAAAGAGCAGTAATTCATCATAAATAAAATGCCCAAGGTAGTTTTAAATGTTTCAGATGAACAAAAGGGCTTGATTTGTGATGTTCATAATTTACATTATCCTACATTATTCTTTGTTCTTCAATCCTTCAACAGAACCTTTTTTAGTATCTTGTGATTTACCAGACAGAATTCTAGGCTGTAAGTTTAAAGAGGTGAAAAAGTAGTCACTGTCTTTCAGAGATCACAGCGTGGGTCTGTGCAAATAAACAATTCATTACATCTGATGTACTAAATCCTATGTTAGAAATAAACTTAGAGTACTGCAGGCATATGAATAAGGCACATTCAGCCTATGGGGGTATTTGGGGATATGGAGAGAAATAAAATAGGGCTTTGTAGTCTAGAAGCTACTTGAATTGAGGTTTGAGGAACTGGTGAGAGTTAAATCCCCAGATGGCAGGGATGGACAAGTAAGAGGTGGAGAAATAGCATGAAGGTGAGAGAGGAAGTTAACAGTCAGAGAAGTGCAAATAGTGTGATGGGACTATGTGTGTGGGAAGTGGTGGAGGGTGATACTGAAAATATTGGTTAAAAGGACATTGCACTTGACGGGTCTGGAGAGCAATTAGACTGTTTAAACTGAGGAGGGATGTAACTGGACCATTGTGAAAACCACTGAGGCAGAAAGACCCTTTAGCAAAGAAATAAGTAGAGCTTGATGGTGTGAAGGAACACATTGGAGAGATGTTTAAGAGATAAAATCAATGGGAATGTGTG